AAAAAAAAAAAAAAAAAACCTAGTCCTGATGGCTTCACCTCTGAATTCTACAAAACTTTCAAAGAGTTAACCTCCATTTTTCTCAAATTATTTCAAAAGATCCAAAAGGGTGAATCTCTCCCTAATTCATTCTATGAAACCTCCATCACCCTTATCCTTAAAATAGACAAGGACAGGACAAGGAAGGAAAACTACAGACCAATATCTTTGATGAATATAGACACAAAGATTCTCAATAAGATACTAGCAAATCATATCCAACAATTTATAAAAAAGATTATACATCATGATCAGGTAGGCTTTATTCCAAGAATGCAAGGTTGGTTCAACATATGCAAAACCATAAATGTAATACATCATATTAACAGGAAAAAAAGATAAAAACCATTTGTGGTCATATCAATTGATACAGAAAAAGAATTTGATAAGATATAACATCCCTTCATGATCAAGACTTTCAGCAATATTGGTATAGAAAGGTCATTTCTCAACACAATTGAAGCTATCTATGAAAAACCCATAGCAGGAGTGATTCCGTCCTGCGCGGCTGTTTTCGGTAGCTGTAGTCATTTACCTCCATCTGCCTTCTCGCCACCCAAGTGCGTGCCATCACCCCATGGAAGATTCGATGGACATGGACATGAGTCCCCTGAGGCCCCAGAACTATCTTTTCGGTTGTGAACTAAAGGCTGACAAAGATTATCAATTTAAAGTGGATAAAGATGAAAATGAACACCAGTTATCTTTAAGAACGGTTAGTTTAGGGGCTGGAGCAAAGGATGAATTGCATATTGTTGAAGCAGACACAATGAATTATGAAGGCAGTCCAATTAAAGTAACACTGACAACACTGAAAATATCTGTACAGCCAACAGTTTCCCTTGGGGGCTTTGAAATAACACCACCTGTGGTCTTAAGGTTGAAGTGTGGTTCAGGGCCTGTGCATATTAGTGGACAGCACTTAGTAGCTGTGGAGGAAGATGCAGAATCAGAAGAAGAAGAGGAAGAGGACATAAAACTCTTAAGTATATCTGGAAAGCGATCTGCCCCTGGAGGTGGAAGCAAGGTTCCACAGAAAAAAGTAAAACCTGCTGCTGACGAAGATGATGACGATGAAGATGATGATGATGATGATGATTTTGAAGATGAGGAAACAGAAAAAAAGCTCCAGTGAAGAAATCTATATGAGATACTCCTGGCAAAAATGTTCAAAAATCAAACCAGAACGGAAAAGACTCAAAACCATCAACACCAAGATCAAAAGGTCAAAAATCATTCAAAAAACAGGAAAAAACACCTAAAACACC